TTTGTTGCAGTGCAATCAGCACAATTACTGCAGTACAGACTAATATGGAAATAGTCAAACCCAGCGAATCCAATGCTTCTGGCAACTGAAGTAATTGGATCTGCAAATGCCACAGCAGACCCAACCATTTCTAATGTATTTTCAGCCTCCCCCCCCCCCCCCCCCCCCCATTCCACTCTTTCGCATAGTGTACTTGGCCAAACAAAAAGCCTTTCTCTTTCGTTCCTTCCTTCCCTCCCTCCATGCCTCCCTTTTCGCTCCTCCCACCCCTTAATCGTACTGCATGGGAAATGTGAACATAATTTTGGATGTGTCTAGTTTATGTAATGCTGCGGACGTAGTTAGCTCGGTTACTCTGTCGTTTTTGTTTCAGTGAGAGTAAAAGAATGAGGTAGAAAACATAAAACTACCACATGGAGCGAGGGAGGGATAGGGAGTAAGAGAGGGAGGAGAAAAAGGAGGAGGGGAAGAGGGGGAGATGACTGGGCGGCCTCTATACTTTATTTTCCTTGAAAGCTCCCTGAAAACCACAGACACATGGTACAGAATTCCCCTCAGAGTGAGAGGAGGAGGGGGGAGCCAGTTTGAAAGAGAAAACACGTCACACACACACACTTGCACATACACACACGCACACTCAGGCATGCACATGCTCATGGGCACACACAGGGAGAGAAAAAGAGAGAGGGAGCTTAGAAAGACCTGTCAGTTTACCTCGGCTTTGTAATGTTCAAAATCAGACAGGCTTAGTTCATGGGACAAGAAAACAGTACCCTTACACAATATGGCTTTAATGGGTTTGAACTCTGAAGGAGACTTCTATGGGAAAGTGGACTGTTCCACTTTCCACAAGTATTGGGGGGGGGGGGGGGGGGGGGGTTGCGTTAATCCAATGTACAATGTATTTAAACTTGATTGACAGATCCCTCAAGCTTCCCCCTAGCCTTGGCCCCCCACTGCTGGTTCCTGAATGGCAGTTGAGGACAAGCAAAGAAGTGGGTATTTTGGTGAGGCTCACTCGCTGGGAAAAGGTGAAGGGTCATCCTCCATAAATGAGACTGTTAGCGCTGTAATTTGAGCAATAGCATGGACACATCGAACCGTGCTAAATCACTGGTGGCTGGACCAAAGCAACAACATCCCTGTACTTGTGAAATGTTTGTCTCTTGTTGATTCAGACTGTGGGAAACTCACAGTAAAAATCAACCAAACTAAACTGAGGCCTATGGCTATTCTAGCAATAATGGTTATTATCCAGTAAGTATTATGTGCAATGAATGTGGTTTATAGTGTTCTTTCCATACTTCCCCAGATTCCTGTAGTAAGTAACCTAACTTGACACTTCTTCCACTAGGGGAAACCAAAGGGAACTGAGAAAAAAAAACCCACCCCTTTTGGTTTTCAATGGTATCACATGCCACCTAGTGGATAAACTAAGCACTTGGAAAAAGTGAACATCAATCATAGACTCCAGTGCAAGTCTAGACATGCTATGATGATGCTTAAACTGCACTGCATTTAGGCCTATGTCATCTTGTCAAGAAAGAATGTTGTGGATTTAAATGTAGATAAATCAGGTTGGGGGGGGGGGGTCTCTTGACACTAATCACACTGTACATGTTCTTATCTGAAACAGTGACAGATTTACAGTGCCTTGCAAAAGTATTCACCCCCCTTGCCGTTTTTCCTATTTTGTTGCATTACAACCTGTAATTTAAATGGATTTTTGGGGGGATTTCATGTAATAGACATACACAAAATAGTCAAAATTGGTGAAGTGAAATTGAAAAAATTACTTGTTTCAAAAAATTGAAATAAATAAAAGCAGAAAAGTGGTGCGTGCATATGTATTCACCCCCTTTGCTATGAAGCCCCTAAATAACATCTGGTGCAACCAATTACCCTCAGAAGTCACATAATTAGTTAAATAAAGTTCACCTGTGTGCAATCTAAGTGTCACATGATCTCAGAATATATATTCACCTGTTCTGAAAGGCCCCAGAGTCTGCAACACCATAAGCAAGGGGCACCACCAAGCAAGCGGCACCATGAAGACCAAGGAGCTCTCCAAACAGGTCAGGGACAAAGTTGTGGAGAAATACAGATCAGGGTTGGGTTATAAAAAAAATCTAAAAAACCTTGAACATCCCACGGAGCACCATTAAATCTATTCTACATTTTTTTTAAAGAATATGGCACAACAACAAACCTGCCAAGAGAGGGCCACCCACCAAAACTCACAGACCAGGCAAGGGGGGCATTAATCAGAGAGGCAACAAAGAGACCAAAGATAACCCTGAAGGAGCTGCAAAGCTCCACAGCGGAGATGGAGTATCTGTCCATAGGACCACTTTAAGCTGTAGACTCCACAGAGGCTTTACGGAAAAGTGGCCAGAAAAAAGCCATTGCTTGAAGAAAAAAATAAGCAAACACGTTCGGTGTTCGCCAAACATATGGAAGAAGGTTCTCTGGTCAGATGACACTAAAATTGAGCTTTTTGGCCATCAAGGAAAACGCTATGTCTGGCGCAAACCCAACACCTCTCATCACCCCGAGAACACCACCCCCACAGTGAAGCATGGTGGTGGCAGCATCATGCTGTGGGGATGTTTGTCATCGGCAGAGACTGGGAAACTGGTAATAATTGAAGGAATGATGGATGGCGCTACATTTTTTTTTTTCACCTTTATTTAACCAGGTAAGCCAGTTGAGAACAAGTTCTCATTTACAACTGCGACCTGGCCAAGATAAAGCAAAGTAGTGCGATAAAATACAGGGAAATTCTTGAGGGAAACCTGTTTCAGTCTTCCAGAGATTTGAGACTGGGACGGAGGTTCACCTTCCAGCAGGACAATGACCCTAAGCATACTGCTAAAGCAACACTCGAGTGGTTTAAGGGGAAACATTTAAATGTCTTGGAATGGCCTAGTCAAAGCCCAGACCTCAATCCGATTGAGAATCTGTGGTATGACTTAAAGTTTGCTGTACACCAGCGGAACCCATCCAACTTGAAGGAGCTGGAGCAGTTTTGCTTTGAAGAATGGGCAAAAAACCCAAGCTTATAGAGACATACCCCAAGAGACTTGCAGCTGTAATTGCTGCAAAAGGTGGCTCTACAAAGTATTGACTTTGGGGGGGTGAATAGTTATGCACGCTCAAGTTCTGTTTTCTTGTCTTATTTCTTGTGAAAATATTTTGCATCTTCAAAGTGGTAGGCATGTTGTTTAAATCAAAAGATACAAACCCCCCAAAAATCAATTTTAATTCCAGGTTCTAAGGCAACAAAATAGGAAAAATGCCAAGGGGGATGAACACTTTCGTAAGCCGCTGTATGACAACCTTTCAACTCTTTTCCATCTCAATTTGTGTGATCTCTTTCTGGCAGCAAGGTCAAGTGAACATAAATAAACCACATTTACAGACTTTCTTTCGATAACATATTTTGTAAAATAGACTCTCATTTTGGTATTATCATAAAAAGATAATGACATTTTGTTGGACATCATCATAAAAATATTTCTTACAAAGGGCTGATAAAAACGTTTTCCATGTTGTTTGTCCACTCAGGAACCAGTATGCCAAATCCTCTCCGCTCCTCAAGCCCTGAGAGGGGATGGAAAGTCTGTGTCAGCTGATTGTAGAGGGCCTCTCTGGCTCAAGGGGACTCAACTGATGGGAAAACTATCGTTTTATCAACAACAAAAAGTCCAATGCCTTTCTCCTCCATCATTTTCCCTAACTAATACTCCCCATGACAATATCCAAATACTTTCTTCCTAAACAACCCTGATATTATGTTGAGTGGACCATTAGTGCGTCCCAAATGGTATCCTATTCCCTATAATAATAAATAATTGGTCATTTAGCAGACTCTTATCAAGCGACTTACAGGAGCAATTAGGGTTAGTGCCTTCTCAGGGCACATCGACAGATTTTTCACTAGTGGCCGGGGATTAGAACCTGGACTTTCGGTTACTGGCACAACGCCTTACACTAACTACCTCGCCACCCTATATGGTAATTGTGCCTAATAGGGAATAGGGTGCCATTTAGGACGCAGTTCATGTCTGACCCTTGGAGGTTTCCCACATTGAAAAATGTATTGGTTTTATTTTAGAATGGGCCTCTTGGGGTGAGATGTTAAACCATATTATTATCACCACTAATATTGAGTTGCTGTATTTGTCTAGGGACACAGTGCTTGAAGTGTATAATTACTGGTTAATACACATATTCATATATTTATAGGTAACCATGCAGATAAACCAATAGATAATCTAATAACACAGACTCAAAGGTTATTGGTGAATTATTCAATGTGTGAATATGATTAATTCCACATACAGTACATTCTTTCCAAAGAGAAAGACATACCTGACATTACACATTAGCAACACTTTCTATGAAGTCACCTGTATAAAATATACTTAAGTATCAAAAGTAAAAGTATAAATAATTTCATATTCCTTATATTAAGCAAACCAGACGGCACCATTTTCTTGTTTTTTATTTATTTATGGATAACCAGAGGCACACTCCAACACTCAGACAGAATTTACCAATGAAGCATGTGTGTTTAGTGAGTCCGCCAGATCAGAGGCAGTAGGGATGACCAGGGATGTTCTCTTGATAAATGTGTCAATTTTCCTGTCCTGCTAAGCATTCAAAATGTAACGAGTACTTTTGGGTGTCAGGGAAAATGTATGGAGTAAAAAGTTATTTTCTTTAGGAATGTAGTGAAGTAAAAGTTGTCAATAACATAAATAGTAAAGAACAGATACCCATAAAAACTATTATAGTAGTACTTTAAAGTATTTTTACTTAAGTACTTTACACCACTGAAATTTACAAGCACAATAATGTTCTGCATAAATACTTGGGAGCAGGGCTATGGGGCCAGGTCACATCTTTCACGAATTCAAACCAGACTTTATTGAGGAGAGAACCTGCAGATGTCCTCAAATAGTTCAGTTCTGATGCCTCTTCAGATTGAGGCGTTATCAGTAGACTGCAGAGGGCACATCCGACCCATCTAAAGGTACATTTTCTTCACTTATCATGCCCCTTTCCACACTAATGAAGACCCCTACCTCACTTTGGACGTCCCCTTTGACACTACTGACATCCACCTCTCCACTCTGAGCAGTATCAGCTTCACTGGGGAACGGTGGGAGTGGGACGGCCTTGGGGTCCCCTCCTTTACCTTGGGGTGACCCCGACCCTCTGGGTGTTGGTTGATCCTTGTCCAATGCACCTCCATCTTGGCCTGACGCTGTGGTATTGGATGTTGGCTTTACACTGGGTCTGGAGCCTCCCCTGGGTCGGACTCCACTGAAAGGCACTTCCTTGAATATTAGGAAACTGGATTGCCTTGAACCTCTTGGGGCGGCCTGATGATGGGTGGGGAGGCGGTGTCGTTGGAGGGAGAGGAGGCATCGGAGGAGAAAATACGATTTTGGCCCTTTCCCTTGACACGTTTGCCCTTTACAACGCTGCTGGTGGGGTTGTGACTCTCAGCGAGTTCAGTGGTGCTTGGATCTGGTTCGATTTGGACACTGGGAGGGCTTGGGTGGACACTGGAGGCAGAGGTGGGTGTAACTGGGGGTGGATGCTCTTCACTGGCCTCAATTGATCCAGAGACAGGTGGAACCTTACTGGGGGTGGGGGTGGTTGTGGTGAGAGGCACATTTTGGGCACAGAGGTTAGCATCTTTCTTTGTCCTGGGTTGACCCTGCTTTGCCCATACGTTTTTGGAAGCCCATGAAAGCATAGCCATTCCAGATTTTTGTGAGTTTACCAGATTTGTACCTAATGGAATTGCTTGACATTTTGTTGCTTTCTGAGTCATGTGGGGGAGACTTGGGGTCTTCATAACTAGAGTGATCATCAACAGTTTTGTGAGATGAATCACTACTTTGGCTCTAATCGGCTGTGTGCTTATTGGACCAGGTTTAGCCTCTCTAGTGGTAGAACTGACATGGACATCATTGTTGCTGGGAAAACCAGAGCTTGGCTGGACGTTGTTTAGACTCTCAATCTGGGGAGATGGTGGTTGGGTTGGGGCTGGTTTGAATCCCTTGAAAACATGGCCAGTTTTAGCATTGTTATCCTTGCCAGGTGTGTAGCTGCGAAACCAAGGCCTACTGACTCTCTGGGTAGAGCGAGGCATGTCGGTGGTAGTGGTCTGCACTTCTGAAGAAGACATGAAATTGCTGAGGGAATGCAGGCTGCTTTGAACAGAAGTATCAGAAGATTGTTGGACCACACTGGAGATGGAAGTTTCAGTGATAGGCACATTCTGGATTGCAGCGTTAGTGTCCTCCATCTGTAGTGAAGCAGAACTGCAGGGAGGTGCATTAACCCCTTTGAGCAGAGACGCTCTTGAAGTTATTGAATTGCCTGGGACCTGGGGTGTAGGAGCTGTGGTCGGTGTCAGACCTTACCACTTTAGGAGTAGGTTGCACTTTTCTATGTTAATTTTCACCATGTGCAGAGTCTGTATTGCTAGAGACAAGGTTATCTTCTGTGGAAATAGGTTGGACTCCTCGTGGGCCTGATTTGAATATCCTTGGGACTAGAGTATCAATTGGGGCAGGGGAAGCTTTAGTGGATTCCTTGGGTCAAAGCCATACTTTTTGAATATGGATACCTACTGACAGAACCCATTTGCATGCCCCTAGGTGTACCATGGTTTATCTCCAGCCAGTACTTTGACTCTTTGCAGTTTGTGTTGATTGAAGGTCTGATAGCAACAGAGGGTTGGTATTCTTCACTCACGATGGGAGCCAATGTTGTCTTGGGAGCTTGATATTGGAACCCTCTGAACCCAAAGTGCATGTTGACGTTCGTGGATCTTTCAGGTTTGTAACCGCATGTGGCTCCTCTGTTCTGACCTCTGGCTCCTCCGTTCTGACCTATGGCTCCTCCATTTTGACCTCTGGCTCCTCCGTTCTGACCTCTGGATGAGTTTCTTAGCCCAGGACAAACAGTAGCTACTCTTGGTTTTCAAAGACTGGCCAGGTGCAGGACTATAAGGCAAAGTTTCTCTCTCTGCAGGCTCAGAGGGACTTGGGTAGGTTGAGTTGCAGTGGAGGCTACTGCATTCAGGAAAGAACCAAACCTACTATGAGGTTGAATTCTGCTGAAAGCACTTCTAGCCTGAGTATCTGCCACTTTACCAGGGGAATAGCATATAGGGCTACCTCCACTTTGGGAAAAGCTAGCACTGTCAATTATGGAAGGGTTTGGTGATACTAGTAGCATGTTGGGCTTCACTGGTAGCATCTATTTTAGAAAAAGCTGATTGGCTCAGAGTTGGTGGGTGCACTTGTGCCTGACGTCCATTGACAAACGTAAAGGATCTAGGGTACAATTGAGAGCCTATGTAGCCATAGCCCCCTTGGGACATGTGTGGATCTTCCAGGCCCAAGAACACTGGGGTTTCCTTCACTTTGGGTACAAGAGGAGGCACCAAGTCAACTGATGGTCTTCACTCCTTCACAAGTGCCCTTGTGAGTGGTTTCAGAGATGCTAGAAGTGGGTTGGGATTCCCCTGAAGAGATAGGAAGACAGAACCTTTCTGTACTTGGGTTTGTCATTGTTTCTTACAGGGTTTTCTGCCTGTTGGGCTGGAATGGGGGTGTGTTCAATGACAGGAGAGACAAATCTGTCCCTGACAGGTTGCAAACTACTGGGGTCAACATGGCTACTTTGTATCACAGTGTTTTTGACTGACTGAAAGGTACCGGAGGCACCCCATGTTCTGGGGACAATTGGGCTACCTAGGTTAGAAGGGTAGTTACGGTAATGAACAGTCTTCTTAGGCACAGAGCTACTTGGAAATCTCCTAGAGCAACTGTTGGGGGGCTAATACTCGTCTCCATCAGGGGGACCTTCTTTCTGGTTGGCCACAATGTTGTTGGTCCCAGGTTGGATTCCCGGTCTCAGGCTAAAGATCCTCTGAGCCTGGCCAATTTGGAGACAGTTGGGGACCGGTTGACTAGGGCTAAGTTTCCGTCTCAGGCTGGGGCTTTGGCTGTGGCTGGGGTTGTGTAGAGAGGCCTCCAGCTTCTGAGCTCCTCTGTGCCAAGAGAACATCCTTCCTCCTGTACTGTTCTCCTGCTTATGGCTAATGGGAAATGGGAAATGAATAAGAACATCATTCAGTTTCACAAAATACGTTTAAGTATAATTGATGTATTTCATTATAAATGTCTGGATACTATAACCTCAATCAATACATTTATAAACAGTGATAATCAAGTTATGGTATCAATTGCCTTGCTGAATTAAATGGACAATGTGTTAGAAGTAGTGCCCAGAGTTTTTTGTCCTTACATGACATTTCATATTTGTTTGTAGGTCACTAAGATCACTAAGATAAGGCAGCTATGGAAGTTCATTGAGCTTCTTGATGTTTTCAAACACATAGTCTAAACCATCATATCTGGTCAAGGTAAACGATTTCAGGTCACAAGATATCTTGAGGTCAAGCATTGACAATTTGATAAACACTCAAGTCATGTAAGGACACATTCTGAACAATAACCCTGAGTGCCTGGATATTGTTAAACATTAGCCCAACTGTTGTGTATTTAGGTCTTTATGGACATAGGTCTATATGACCTAAAACAACCTTTGCTCAGTTTTTGTGCAATAAGATAAGAATGATAATTAAATAAAATCAAGCTTTATTTATACAGCACATTTCATACATGAAATGAGATGCAGTGTGCTTAACAGCAAGATAATAATACAAACATGAAAATAAAAGCTGAAATATTTACTACACAACAAAGATAAGATAAAAAAAAAAAAACTAAAGTATGACATAAACTGAACAACTAAAAAAGCACCCTCAGGAAAAGCAAAGCTAAAAATATGTTTTAAATATGTCCAGTTTCGGCCCCCCTCGGGTTCTCTGGCAGGCTATTCCAGAGGCTGGGGGCATAATAACTAAAGGCTGCCTCTCCATACCTCTTGGTCCTAGGCTTTAGGATAGTTAAAAGGCCAGTGCCAGAGGACCTGAGGGACCTAATGGGTACATAACTTTAAAGCATGGCTGACATGCATTGGGGTGCACAATCATGTATTGATTTAAAAACCAATAGAAGAATCTTAAAATTAATGATACAATTCACAGGCAGCCAGTGCAAAGACCTTAAAACCGGTGTAATGTGTGCTCTCCGTCTGGTCTTGGTCAGTACCCGTGCTGCAGTATTCTGTATGTTTTGCAGTTGACCAATGGCTTTCTTGGGTAGACCAGACAGGAGAGCATTATAGTATTCAAGCCTGCTTGTAATAAAAGCATGGATGAGTCTCTCTGTATCAGCCTGAGAGAGAAACGGACGCACCTTGGCAATGTTCCTCAGGTGGTAAAAAGCTATTTTGGTCACATTCCTAATGTGTGATTCTAAATTTAGTTCAGTATCAAAAATAACACCTAGGTTTTTTACCTGGTATTTTATCTTTATTGCCCGTGAATTAAAATGTGCGGCTAGATTCTCTCTCTGTGCTTTGGCTCCAACAATAAGTACCTCGGTCTTATCTTGATTTAGCTGGAAGGAGTTGTGAGTCATCCAAGTATTTAAATCACTAATACAGTCTAATAATTTATCCGTGGAGATAAAATCCTCTGGTGACACAGAAATGTAATGTTGTGTATCATCTGCGTAGCAGTGAAAATAAATGCTGTGCTTTCTGATAACGCTGCCAAGGGGTAACATACAGTGAGGGAAAAAAATATTTGATCCCCTGCTGATTTTGTACGTTTGCCCACTGACAAAGACATGATCAGTCTATAATTTTAATGGTAGGTTTATTTGAACAGTGAGAGACAGAATAACAACAACAAAATCCAGAAAAACGCATGTCAAAAATGTTATGAATTGATTTGCATTTTAATGAGGGAAATAAATATTTGACCCCTCTGCAAAACATGACTTAGTACTTGGTGGCAAAACCCTTGTTGGCAATCACAGAGGTCAGACGTTTCTTGTAGTTGGCCACCAGGTTTGCACACATCTCAGGAGGGATTTTGTCCCATTCCTCTTTGCAGATCTTTTCCAAGTCATTAAGGCTTCGAGGCTGACGTTTGGCAACTCGAACCTTCAGCTCCCTCCACAGATTTTCTATGGGATTAAGGTCTGGAGACTGGCTAGGCCACTCCAGGACCTTAATGTGCTTCTTCTTGAGCCACTCCTTTGTTGCCTTGGCCGTGTGTTTTGGGTCATTGTCATGCTGGAATAACCACCCACGACCCATTTTCAATGCACTGGCTGAGGGAAGGAGGTTCTCACCCAAGATTTGACGGTACATGGCCCCGTCCATCGTCCCTTTGATGCGGTGAAGTTGTCCCCCTTAGCAGAAAAACACCCCCAAAGCATAATGTTTCCACCTCCATGTTTGACGGTGGGGATGGTGTTCTTGGGGTCATAGGCACCATTCCTCCTCCTCCAAACACGGCGAGTTGAGTTGGTCTCATCTGACCACAACACTTTCACCCAGTTCTCCACTGAATCATTCAGATGTTCATTGGCAAACTTCAGACGGGCCTGTATATGTGCTTTCTTGAGCAGGGGGACCATGCGGGCGCTGCAGGATTTCAGTCCTTCATGACGTAGTGTGTTACCAATTGTTTTCTTGGTGACTATGGTCCCAGCTGCCTTGAGATTATTGACAAGATTCTCCCGTGTAGTTCTGGGCTGATTCCTCACCGTTCTCATGATCATTGCAACTCCACGAGGTGAGATCTTGCATGGAGCCCCAGGCCGAGGGAGATTGACAGTTATTTTATGTTTCTTCCATTTGCGAATAATCACACCAACTGTTGTCACCTTCTCACCAAGCTGCTTGGCGATGGTCTTGTAGCCCATTCCAGCCTTGTGTAGGTCTACAATCTTGTCCCTGACATCCTTGGAGAGCTCTTTGGTCTTGGCCATGGTGGAGAGTTTGGAATCTGATTGATTGAATGCTTCTGTGGACAGGTGTCTTTTATAGAGGTGTCCCTTTAAGAGTGTGCTCCTAATCTCAGCTCGTTACCTGTATAAAAGACACCTGGGAGCCAGAAATCTTTCTGATTGAGAGGGGGTCAAATACTTATTTCCCTCATTAAAATGCAAATCAATTTATAACATTTTTGACATGCGTTTTTCTAGATTTTTTGTTGTTATTCTGTCTCTCACTGTTCAAATAAACCTACCATTAAAATTATAGACTGATAATTTCTTTGTCAGTGGGCAAACGTACAAAATCAGCAGGGGATCAAATACTTTTTTCCCTCACTGTACATAAACTGAACAGTACCGGACCCAAAATCGAACCTTGTGGAACGCCACATGTGATATGTATTATCTCTGAGTTATGTTCACCAAGGGTGACAAAAAACTCTTGACCATTTAAATAGGTCCTAAACTACTTTAGAACTGGACCGGAGCGGCCAACCCACCTCTCCAGTCTGTCCAGAAGGACGTCATGGTCAACAGTGTCGAATGCAGCACTTAGTGTACAGAGTGCTGTTTGACATCTGTGTTGGCTCTAAGATAATTGACCACTTTAACACTTTAACTAAGGCTGTCTCTGTGCTGTGGTGGGCATGAAAACCAGATTGGATTTTTTTTTTAATACAGTTCGCACTTAAAAAATAATTTAGCTGTTTGAACACCAACTTCTCCAGAATGTTGCTGAAAAATGAAAGGTTGGAGATTGGCCGAAAATTGCTAAGAGCTGAAGAATCTAGATTACTTTTCTTCAGAAGAGGTTTCACCATAGCAGTTTTTAGTGCTGTGGGGAAACTGCCTGTGAACACAGAGTGATTAACAATAGCTTGCACTTCTTCATATATGCAATTAAAAACTGTTTTGAAGAAGGTGGTGGGGATAGAATTGAGAAGGCAGGTATAAGGCTTAAGTTGTGGTATCACTTTCCTGAGCATGTCTGTGTCAACCAGGGAAAATAAATCCATAGTGCCATTGCATGGTAGGCTAGGGCACATACAGTTGAAGTCGGAAGTTTATATACACTTAGGTTAGAGTCATTAAAACTCGTTTTTCAACCACTGCCACAAATTTCTTGTTAACAAACTATAGTTTTTGCAAGTCGGTTAGGACATCTACTTTGTGCATGACACAAGGAATTTTCCCAACAATTGTATACAGACAGATTATTTCACTTATCACAATTCCAGTGGGTCAGAAGTTTACATACACTAAGTTGACTGTGCCTTTAAACAGCTTGGAAAATTCCAGAAAATGAAGTAATGGCTTTAGAAGCTTCTGATAGGCTAATTGACATAATTTGAGTCAATTGGAGGTGTACCTGTGGATGTATTTCAAGGCCTACCTTCAAACTCCGTGCCTCTTTGCTTGACATCATGGGAAAATCAAAAGAAATCAGCCAAGACCTCAGAAGAAAAATTGTAGACCTCCACAAGTCTGGTTCATCCTTGGGAGCAATTTCCAAACACCTGAAGGTACCACGTTCATCTGTACAAACAATAGTACGCAAGTAGAAACACCATGGGACCACGCAGCCATCAAACTGCTCAGGAAGGAGACGCGTTCTGTCTCCTAGAGATGAACATACTTTGGTCCGAAAAGTGCAAATCAATCCCAGAACAACAGCAAAGGACCTTGTGAAGATGCTGGAGGAAACCGGTACAAAAGTATCTATATCCACAGTAAAACGAGTCCTATATCGACATAACCTGAAAGGCCGCTCAGCAAGGAAGAAGCCACTGCTCCAAAACCGCCATTTAAAAAAAACAGACTACGGTTTGCAACTGCACATGGGGAAAAATATTGTACTTTTTGGAGAAATGGCCTCTGGTCTGATGAAACAAAAATAGAACTGTTTGGCCATAATGACCATCGTTATGTTTGGAGGGAAAAGGGGGTGGCTTGTAAGCCGAAGAACACCATCCCAACCGTGAAGCACAGGGGTGGCAGCCTCATGCTGTGGGGGTGCTTTGCTGCAGGAGGGACTGGTGCACTTCACAAAATAGATGGCATCATGAGGAAGGAAATGTTTGTGGATATATTGAAGCAACATCTCAAGACATCAGTGACCTAAAACAGGGATTTTTTACTAGGATTAAATGT